TCACCTCTTCCAAAGAAAGTTGGCTCAGCCCAGCTAAGGAGAAATAGGTCTTTAGGATATAGTCTTAGTTAACCAGAAAATTCACTAGCAATCAGCGAGTGAGGGCAAGGGCTTCTGCATATAGCTGAAAGTATCCATGATCTTTTCTTTAGTCCAGAAAAGGAACTTCATTTATATAGTCTGACCCACCTTTGTTGGAAGACACTTGGAGCAAACACCACTGGTTCTGGCCTTGTTTATCTGTAAGTGAAATAGCCTAGGAAAAGGAATGAACTTTGCAGATGCTACATTTTTTTCATGCATTCCCTGGAGAACTGCATGTCAGCCCCGTTCAGTTGCAAACTGTACCAGAGTTAGTTAATTGGAGGGCTTGTTTTTCCATGATGTCATGTCTTTCATAAGTGGATGATTTTGACTTGTGCTATGATCTGTATTGAATGTGGTTTGTGCACATCAGCTTCAAGTCTTAGGTGTGAAACAGCCTTACCTCCCAGTTTTAATGAGTTAAAATTGAGATTCCTGGATCTGCTTCCAGGCTGACAAGAGAGGTTGACTTAAAAGTATGAGTTAGCTTTCTTATTGGACTTCATTTACCTCTTACTACTACGTCTAGGAAGAAGAATGTATTGTACTGCAGATGAAGAAATAGGGACAGGCTCCTGCTTGTATTAGAAACTTTGAAGTGTAGACCAAATCTCCAAGGATTTAATGGGTACTTAGAAGTCACGGCAGATATGAAACAAATAAAAAGGAAATGTTCCTTTACCCAACTCATAACTAAACTATGAAACTCTGTCACAGGACTTAGAGGAGGTCAAAACTATAAATATGTAAGGGGAAAAAAAGAAAAGATGTGTCAGATGGGTCACAGTTAGTGCTATAAAAAAAAAAAACAAACCCTGCTTATTAGGATAGCAAAAATAGATATTCTGTATTTTCCAGAAGAGTGGAGGTAAATAAGGACAAAAAATCTGCTCAGTTAACTACATGCTCCCTTCACAAATTTTAGTCCTAATTAGAGGCGAAGTCCTTTATTTCTTATTTTGTACTGTTTTATCATGTAGCCCTCAACTTAAATGATGATCTGTTCCATCTTAAAGCAGACACACTTCACTGACAAGAAACATATTGCCCCTATCTATCATATAAAACTCCAGGGAGAGTTACTGAGTATGTGCTTGCTGGACACTGTAAACTGGTGGAGTTATCTGGTCTCCCAAGATGGAAAGCATCCTAGACACATTCCTGGAATATGCAAAATTTGGCTCTCTTATGCCTGAATGGCTACGGAAATTTCAGGGCAACAGAAAACCTGTTCTCTCCAATGCTTTTAAACTTCTAGGAGGTGGCTAATAACATTCCTCTGCTTTTACACTGGGTTATTCATCAGAAACAGCTGCTCCTCCATGCATCTGTGACATCAGGGTGGGTCAGCTAAGAGACCTGTGTCAGTCACATGCATGTTGAGATCTGTGATGAAAGGTGATAGAAAGGCAAAGAATTACTTTACTGTCCTGAATTTTCACAGCTAAGTATGTAGAAGTGCTGAAAACTACTCTCGAAGTTCCTTCCTCTGCCAAGAAAAGCCAATGGCCACCTCTCCATCCCACAGGCCTTTGCTACTTGAAAACAAAAGACCACATTGTAAGGTTTTTACAGCACAGTGATGATGTAGAAGCCCTCATGTATTCCTCACCTAGTGAGTAAACACAGTTGCTGAATGATCATCTTTTTCTTCTTTCAAACACAGGGACAGGAGATACAGTTGCAGCAGCAATCACAGAAATGGCTTGGGGTTATCAAAACAATTGCAGCACACATGAACAAACACTTTAGCCTTGCCAAGCTAAACTAGCCTAAGCATTTTGCTTGGCCAAGCATGCTCCCAGCTGATCGCGATCAGCAGGGCCATGTGTGTCATCTGGCGGGGCAGGGCAGAGGGAAAGCGAGAGGTGCAGCCCAGAACAAAACGTGGCGGACTCAAGTCTTCTGTGCCAGTGTGGGCTGAATCCTCACTGAGTTCCCTGTAATGGCATTTTCTTTCTTGTACTTGAGTAGTTGTTTCTATTTGTGCAAAATGAGCAGGCATAAGGCACTGCCATTCGGCTCTTTTGTGAGATGGCACAAAGATCCCATTTGCTTCGCTGCCTCCAGTATCCCTGAATGAGGGTCTTGTGCATATACAGCTGTAACTATAAGAATCCAAAATGGAGAAGGAAAAGATTTGTACTTTTTGTAGACCAAAAGCCTTTCCAGACCTGGACAGCGAGACAGAAAATACATTTTTTGGTAAGGCTTGAACTTTGAAAGTTCGTACAGGCTCAAAGGCAGAGAAGACTAAACTCTCCCCACCTCCGGACTTATCCAAACAAACCAATCTATGTTGCCAGCTTATGGGGTGTTCAGTTGCTCTTAGAAGTGCATAGCACTTAAAAATTGAAGGAATTTCTTTCTTTTTCTCTTGGACCATGATAGAAAAAACTTGATCTGTTTATAGAAATCAGTTAGTTTGTGTGTATATGTGTGCATATGTTATGAGAAGGAATGCAAAAGTATGAAAAACGCAGCCATCTCTTCATTTCCAAGTCTGTAATCTCAAGGGTTTCTAGTGATACTGGCTGAGAAGCTGTGTTCGAATGCTTAGCTGGACCAAATATGTTGGACAGATTATCCTGATGTTTCATGCCAATGCAAATGAGAGAAATTCCACTGGAACCCATGATGTTCCACCAGAGTAATGTTAGAGGAGGGAATAAGGCCAAAGGCCACTTCCAATAAGTATATTTTGGATCAGATATCTGAAAATTCTCAGCATCCAATGGGTTTGGATTAAGGGGTTTGGTTCAAAAGGAGGTCTCTTGGCAAGTGTCACCCCTCACACTGACCAAAATGTATCTGAAAACATGGCTAGGAAAGTCTTCTATGTATTTTGGTGCATTGTACACACCGAGTCAGTATTTATTGTGTCAAGAGACCTGTAAGAGATTATGCTGTCTCCATCTTCTTAAACCAAGGAGCAGCACTTTGAATAAACCATACTGATACCCATGATTTCCCTTCCACAGAGTAATACTCTGATGCAGACAACTTTTCATCTGCTTTTCATCATTTGCTTTCCATCAGGGGAAGAGCTGGTATCCCCCAGAACTGCAAGCACAAGCTAGGTAGACAGAGAGATGGATGCTGTATCAGACGCTCACCAGCTCTGCTAGTCAGCCTGAGCTCCTCTGGGGCATCACCCCGCCCTTTCTCCCTAATGTGGTCAGTGGCTTCACAGCCACAGCCTGACCCACAGTTCTGCTATGTCAGAATGAGCGATGTTGTGAGCAGGGCAGCAGGTGCGCCTACCATGCTCCTCAAATGTCATTTCATGCTTCCACGTGTGCTTTGTGCTTCTGTGCATATAAACAAAGATTCAGTGTTGATTCCTAAAGCACAAAGATTCTTTAGCAGAGGTTCCCTCGAGGGCACTGTAAGCCACCAAAAAAAAGCCCTGCTGCCCAGGAACAGGTAGTGGCAGAGCTCTACAACCATCATTGCTCTGGGCTGAGATACAAACAAAGGACTGATCCAGCCCCGATCTCCTCCTTAGCCAGAGGCATATGCTCTTCATTAATGGCCACATTGCATGACTTGGTTTGCAGAGGAAAATAAAAACAGTGAGCTCATCAGAGAAGGAAAAACACGAGTGAGATGAATTGTTGTAAATATTTATATCTTCTGGGCCTTTAATGTGATTGTCATTTTCCCTTTCTGCATTTGAACAGCCAAGCTATTATTGTTTGGGACTGTGACTTTTTTTTTTAAGGGTAGTTTTTAAGCCTACACATCTGTACCCTATGCCTAGGCAGCCTCTACAGCCAGTCCTGAGAGGAGCTGAGGACACTCAGTGCTATCTCCACAGGCGCTCAGCACCCTGACAGCATCTGACTCATGGCCTGGTGTGTAAAGAGCTGCCCTCATCCAGATGGACTTAAAACTACTGCAAAAAATCCATCCCTGGGGCAATTGCCTTGACATGACTGGCTGAATTCAATCTGTTGACTGCAATGGCTGTGCATTGGGGTGCGTCTCGTGTAAGGGAGAGATATTTGACGTGCCTGTATGCAACTGCTTTCCCTTTGGAAGGCTCTCTGTTGCTCTTGGAGTGGAGGGCTGTGATAATAGCCAACTGCCTGCCGAGCCCTAGATGCAAACTTTTTGCATGAAATAATAGCCTCACGCCCACATAAACTTAAATTGTTTCTATGGAGAATATCCTGGACCGATCTAGAACCTCGCCCTGCTTGCTTTATTAGAAACCCTGGGAGAGAATCAAATGTATATATATTTTTATATTTTTTTAAAAGCTTATGAGAGTGAACTATATTAGCCTGATAATGTAAAAAGCATTTTTCATGAGAGCGTGAGGTGGCATAGCCTTCTGGAATGAAGTACAGGCCTGGGAGACAGAGGCTGGAGGTTTATTACTGCTTTGCAATGTCTCCAGGGCATTTTACTTCACCTTCGTTTCACTTTCCAGCCTTTGTTCAGACTGTAAATTTTTTGAGGCAAGATCTGTACGCATGTGCAGTGGCCAATAGAAGGAGACGCTGATTTTTAGCATGGTTGTTCAGGTGAAACAGTGATTGCTATCTGTTGCTTAGAGCCAGCACTGACTATGGCTCCTACTGGGATTAGGAGGCTAGAGAATCAAAGATACATGACTTTGAATTTGCTGTTACCTCATATAGGGCAGGGGTCACCTAATGACCAATATGAGTCTGGAGCTGTAATTAGGAAATGTCTGTATGGCAGGGATTTGGGACGTGTCCTATTGCCCCTCTTACTCTCAGTGACTGTGACACCAGTAGCACACATAGTCACCCTGCGATGACACAGAGATGTTCACAGCGGCATATCCTGTTGTTTTGTTGCTTGGGTTTTTTTTAAGTGACACTTGAATTGTGCTAAAGAACAAAGTATGGATTTACTATTCTGTTTCTCTTTGATCTTTCTAGATCATCAAAGAGCCTCCCCCACCCCCTGCAGAAGACAGCGAGGTGAGTAGCACTGACAACTCGATTTCTTCAATGTTTAGGACAGGATTTTGTTCAGTCTCCTCACAAAAGGTTGTGATTCTGCTGCATGGCAGAGTATGGACCATTTAAACCTTTGTGCTCACTCTGTAGCCTTAAAGTCAATAGTGTTCTAGCTAAACTAGGGACTTTTTAGCTGATGTGTGCCATGTGTGTTTCACTCTGCTCACTTTGCTTTCTACAGAGGTAGAGGTGTGGTTTTTATTTATTTAAGAGTGACTGTAGATCTGTGTATACAGTACCTCCATGGAGCAGGTAGGGAAGGAGGACAGAGGCAGACAATACTTCCACTCGGTCAGAACAGCACTGCAGAGTTTGGCTGTGATTCACAAAAAGGACAACTCTTAAGCGTATGTTTAACTTTGAAGTTAATGTAACCTACACATATGCTTAATTGCCTTCCTGGAATGGCACGGTAATGATTTTGATGGTTTAGCATATATAACAGCTCTTGGCAGCTGAGCAGTAACTCACAATGCTGATCCCTTGGACTACAGTTGCTGTGAGCAAGGGAAGCCCACAGTCTTTGCATTGTGTCTGAAGACAGCGAACCAGATTCTGGGCAAATGTAAAATCATCTTGATATCAGAAGAGCTGCAGTAGCCAGGGAAGTTTTAATGGAGAGAAATGGTAAAGCAACATTAAAACTTCATCTTAATTCTGCTTACTCTTTTTAGATTAATCTAGCAACAAATGGTTTAAAGCTATGTCACTATTACTTAATTAGTAGACTCTCCCCAGAAATATGCCCAGTTTTTCATCTGCCTCTTTCTATGTCCTTCTGCTTTCAGCACGCAATGAGTCTCCTCTTTGCTTTCACCGTTTTGCACGTGGGATTTCATTGAAAAGTCACTGGGCTGTGTTCAGGGTGCATTGATGTCAATGGGAGTTTTTTCCATTGACTTCACTGGGGTTTGGATCAGTTCCTCTTAACTATGCAAGTAAGAGAAGACTTAGATCTATGCTCAGAGTGATTTGGTTGGTTAGTTCGCCTTGCTTATTGCATCTGGAGACAAATTCATTGCCTGCTTCAGCTTGCAAGTGGAAAAGCATGCTGAAATGATCCTCTGTGCTCTCCATAAAGTCTGGCCCAGTGAGTGTTCTCTGTGCCAAGGCAGACAGACATTCTTAATGCTCAGTCCTCTGCAACGCTACAGGGGTGGAATCCAACCTAGCTTCTGCCTGCACTAGGCACAGAGAAATATTTCAGGGCAGCTGGAGCCAAGGCCAGTACTAGAACCTCCATCTTGGTGGCACTTCAAAACAAGCCTGAAGCAAAACTCCAAATCTGAACATTCCTGGACCCAAGGGACATTTGTGTTTGGATCCAGTGTTCCCCATGCCTCTATATGCAGGCATCTGGCCTGTTTCCCTAAGTAGACATTTCTGTTTGGGCTGTAGGTAAATCCACTAGCTTTGTTAGCTTCTATCCTCTGAATGAAAAGGAAAATATTAACTTAAAATTGCACATGCTCTGTTCTGCATCACACGTGCCTCCAAGCCAAGGGATTCAATTGCTGAAATTAGTTAAAATACATAATTCTGGGATACTGGGTTACTGGCCAAGGACTGGAAGGGGAAATTACATCTCTGTGCTGAGAGGGAAGGTGTGCTTCACGTATAAGGAAGCCTTTTATCAAACCAGTAAGTGCTGCAAAAGCAGACCAGTTGCTGCAAAATAAACTAGTTGCAGCAGACCAGTTATATTTGCCTCAGGTTAAGTTTAGTTAAGCTGGTGTAAAGATATATGTGGGCATATTCTATTTCCTCTCAGCCCTGATTCTGACAGAGAAGAACAGTCTGTGCAGCTCTTTGGATGAAACAGTCCTCAATTCATCTGTCTGTTTCACAGCTTTCCTTTAGCAATGTATTTGCCACTGGCTTTTTATTTTAAATTAACGTGGTCTTGTACTGTGGAGAACGTGGGGCAAATCCTCTTTGTTTAAAAGCAGAATGTTGTTCTGCTTGCTCCCCATAGATGTCTGCTTTAAATGCAGACTTGTCCAGGCTTTGGTTGTATCCAGAGTAGGACACTGCACAGTGCCTGAAAAATTGCATTAATCTCTTACCTGTAGTTTACCTGCTTCCCTGTTAATACAAGAGCAGATCTGTACAATCTTTCGGCTATTATTCTTACTGTTTTGGGACCCTGGGGTGGGGAGCTTTGTGCCGACACTGTAGGGACTAGTCTGATGGTATAATTTCAAATGTACTTTCCACCAGAGCACATCCCCTAAGCTTAATACTCAATTATCCTATAGCTATCTTATACAATTAGCAGCCAAAGGCATCTTAAAAAAGAAAATATGGTTTATACTATTTTAGAAACTATATAGCATCAGAGCAGTGCTCAAAAAATTACTAAGGCTTGAAGCTGTGATTTGTACTATGTGTTTTTTCCCAGACACAAGAGCTTCCCACTAGTGAAAAAATAGCAGAAGCTCTGAAAAGGTGCATTTCATTGGTCCCATTTACTCTTATAGAGCCTGGTCCACAGAATGGGATTGGCAGTAGTATGATGCTTTCACAGAAGGCTGGATACTCCAGATTTTCTACTTTTGCTCAAAACAAATAGAAGATGGAGTTGATTTTCTGCAATCCCGTTTTTCTTACATGTTGCAGATAGCTTTCTCCCTTGCAGAAAACCTAGCAACTGCTCGTCTCCAGCATGAAAGAGTGCTAATCCCTTAAGCAGCAGCATTACAGTTACAGTAAGATTTTTTTTTTTTCTTCTCCCAAAGATCTTGGCAAAAAAAAGACAAGAGGAATTCTTGCATCAGCAGATTTGGGAGCTGAGGCCCATATGTCTTTGCACTGCAAGGAGAATGCATTATACTGTAACAATGAAGGGAAAGTAGCATTGCTGTCAAACCCGCCAAAGGTTTTATTGAACTCTACTTTAAAGGCCTTTTGAGACATATTGGAGGCACGCTCACTATTGGTGAAGGAAATCATTATTGGCTAGAAACTTCCAATTAATCCATTCAGAAATTGCAAATGTCGTCAACTTACTGCTGTGCTCCTCAGACAACGCAGGATACTAGAGGAGGTTAAGCCCAGATGAAGGACAGATGGGTTTACTTACAGCCAGGAAAGATGGAGTTAATGCCCATCGGAAGCGGTGAATCCCTCCAGGAGACAATGCCCCCAGGAGCCAGTGAGCACCTTTCTGGCCTGTTATTAGTCATTGAGGGTGGATCAAAACCACATTCTTCTACCTCTAGTGGATAGGAAGGCTTTTTCTAGCCCTGTTGGAGGAAGACACAGCTGCTTTTATTCATGTGTCCCATCACTTTCAGGCTGGGCTTGTTGGAACAACTCTTACTCAACTCAGACCAGAAGCTTACCATGGGGCTGAAGGTGGTCTCACTATAGCAACCCATCTTCTACGTCAAAAAAACCCAACCTGCAGGGCTCTGCAGCTTCCAACAATTTCCTATTCGCTACGTGACCTGTGCCAGAGGTCTGCTGCTAGTCAGTCCCACAGAAGGACAGACTCTGACTGCAGTCAACAGGTGCATAGACTGGAGCCCTCCAAAGTAACCCCAAGAGGCACGCTGTCTTCTCATTACTTCCTTGTCCTGTAAACAGAGACCAGGCAATGCTAAAATACACTGCTGTGTCTTCATTTTCTGTCATGGCAGCACTTTCTCACACAGAAGGGATTCAGGGACACAAAGTTCCCTGAAGTCTCACAAAACCAGGCAGGAGATCCACCAGATGACCAGAGCGTGCCCTTTCCTCATCACTCAGACCCATTTTTTCCATGCTGTTCTATCACCCAAGCTCCATAGTCACCCCTAGCATGGCACCAGAGCCAAGCCACCAACCAGCCTGTAAGTGGATAATTCTTATGTCTGTTGTCATCTTACCCACATACACCAAAGCAAACTCACACAAGGAAGTCCTGGAGAGAAAGGACCATTCAGCAGCACAGGCATGAGGTGCTGAAGGGTAATTATCACTGTTGTGGGAGGCCAGCATGAAAAGGAGGAATTTAACTCACTGCATGGCAGCTATTGTTAAGCCAATCGATGAAACCACCTGTTCAGCTTGAACCAGTTTGATCTTTGTGAACTAATCTCTTTCTCCCACAGCTGAACATTTGTGAGGCCAGAGAATGGCTAACAGGGATTCATCTGCTCGAGGAGCTGCTTGCACCCTCACTTATTGGTGTTTATTAATCTTTTCCAAATTGTTTTCCTCTCTCTTCCAGAAAAGCCTTGCTAGGGAGATAGCAAAATAAGCTCCAGAGAAAGGATCTGATAAGAATTTTTTGTAGACACCAAGGCAGGAAATGTATTCTGTTATTCCTGAAATAAAGCCAGGTCACAGTGGTATGCCAGCTCTTTTCCTTCCCTTTTACAGTGAGTGGCAGAATATGGGGGGAGGAGTAAAGGAACCTTTCAAGAGACAGACATTTAAAAGAAAAAGATTTGGGATGTTATTGGCAACAGATGAGGTGTAGGTATTACATATGAAGGTGTGGACTTTTATGGCCAAATTTTGTGTGAAATATCTAGGCAGGCCCAGCACAGCAAACTCAGTTAGTGTAGAGGCTGTGAAAGTTGGGTTTAATCACATCACAGTTGCAATGGGAGCGCCAGTGTTAATTCCCTTGACCTTATAAGACCTTATTTAATCTTCCTGTAGCTCAGTGTCTGAGCTATAGAGTGGGAATAACTCAACATCCTTTCTCTTTCATCTTCATCAAAACGGGGGTTCTCTCTTACCTGTGCCCATGCAGCGCTTTGCACTTGGAGGATGTAAGTTCAGGCAGGATATTTAAGAATCTGTACCATAAATAAACTAGGAGTTTCTGTGATCAGTAAGACCAACAGAGGCTGGTTTTCTAAGCATTTGTTTCTCGAGGATAAGATTATATGTGAATTTTTTGGTGCCTCATGAGAGTTGAGCTCTTTCTTCAGTCTGCTCCTTAGTAGAGCACCAGTAGAACATCTCTTTGATGCTCTTGTGACTTGTGAGTGCTTTCTGACAATAGTTTGCAGGCTTGGGCCAGTGACAGGCAAAGATAATGAGAGAAAAACCAAAGTGATGAGTTTATGCAGTTGCAATTTAGATGCCCGGGAGAGTATAATGTAACAAGCAAAACCTGCCACAGCAGGGAGGAAATGTTTCTTGAGAACTGAGCAGGGTGTCCTCAAAGTGTAACGATGCCTCTGCACCTGAGAGGTGGCCATGCAATTTGGAAATAAGTTTGGTGTTGGGAGAAAAAGGAGGCAGTAAGGAGCCGGAAGCCTTGAGGACGGTGTATTCACCTCCACCGTTTCCTCAGCTGTAAAATTAGATAACATCTCTTACTCAGAGGAATGATTGTCCTGTCATGTCTTACAGCGCTTTGTGCAGGCAGAGCTCTCTAAAAATGCTAAATTCTGACAAGATTCAGGCATTGCAGAGACAACTGTGAAAATAATTATAAGGGCGGGGAAAGGGGTAAGTTGTCCAAACTTTTTTTATATCTGGCCAAATTTAGTTTGAATTCTTACCCTGAGTGGTTCAGATGTCCCTAGTGGAGCATGAATTATCCTTGTGTTACCCACAGATGAGGTTCCCTCAGGTCAGGGTCGAAGTATACAGAGCCTGGCATGGACTCTGAGATAAACACAGATCTTTGTTTTCTGAAATCCAGCAGTTATGAATCTGGATCTCTGACTGTGAAATGTAGCTCTGTCTTCCTGCTTCTTATTTTTTAAAAGAAACTCTAGCTCCATCTAAAGCAGATTTTGGGGATGGAAAGATGCCAAGTTCTGTACAGTCAATTTCCAGCATCCTCAAATGCACTTGAGTTTTCCGGGGCTGTTTTTTATACTGCTGCTGGGTCAGAGCTGAAGTTCCTTATGCAGTTCTTCCTCAGGCAAAAACCCCATTGTAGCTAAGTGTAGAAGAATATGGGCAAAACTGAGCCATAACATGAGAATTCAGCCTCGTTTTATTGGCTCAGGTCTTGTGAACGGGGCAGTGAGCTAGGATGCTGGACATGGGGATTGTATGCCTCTTCCTTCTTGTTCTCCTGCTGTCTCCCTACCTTGACCCCCAAGTTTCCAGTTGCTTTCCTTTAGCTACTCACGTGTGTTGTGAGCACATTTGCCAAGCGTGTAGGACATCACTGGTGGGATTTTTTTTCTTGCTTGTATTGCAAAACCTCCCATGCCCTTCAAAACATGTAAACAGACTCATCCTGAAGGAAGCTTGTGACTCCTTTGTTTTTCAAGTGTCCACTGTTGTCTTTTTGTGCGTGTGCTGTTTCTGTTGTTGTTCTGGCAGAAACACTCCTATCTTAGATTGAAGTGACTTGCAGGGCTTTTAAGGGCTTGTGGGGAAGATTTCCTAAACCTTGGTATTTCCTGTTGTGAGAAGTCCAGTCTGTGCTAAACTGAAGAGAGAGAAAGAGAATTGCTGAAGGAAAATATTTAGATGGCTTTGATTCCAATTTTTTGAAAAAGTCCTCATGGAAAACTTCATGCAGAGATATTAAGTTCTTAGGTTGCAGCTCTTTAGCCTCAGCAGCTCTAACCCAGAGCAAGAGAAAGAGGTCAGCTACGACAAAGAACCACCTTGTATTTATGACTCAATTGTTCGCTCTTCCTTTAGATCAGAACAAATGTTGCAGCCGAATTTATGTGTATTTTGAAAAAGAGAAATGTTTTTGTTTGACATGAAAAGCATAGTTTGTGTTGGATTTTTTTCCCCCAGTTTTTCAGTTTTCCTGCTGGGGAGTTCAATTTCAAAGTATTTTTGGCTTTTCCAGTTTTGGAAATCTCCTACGTTTTGGAGTTTTGCCAAATCCCTGTGAAAAATTAAAGAAAGAAAAAAAAGAGGGAGCCATTTTTCATCTCTCTCCACATTTTTCACAGGAAATACTTCACGTTTTTGATGAACTCTGCTTTTCTGCTTTGCCAGTTCACAGCCTGAACTGTAGAAATTAAAGGGAAAGGCACTATATAGGTCAGAGCATATGTGGAGTTGTTATGTAGTGCAACAAAGAATATAGAATATATAGAATACACTCTCTAGAACTTTAGCTAGGCTCATTTTAAATAAACTTAAGGACATTTTCCTGATTTGTTAATTTGGCCGTATCTGAATGTCATCATGAAGGCCAGGGTCCTGAACAAGTTTAGCTTTGTGTATGGTGATGTACCATAGGTTTCTGCCTGCGGTATGTAAGGGTAGAACACATTCAAATTTGTACAGAATTTAAGTCTCATTTTTCACGCAGGGCCTGACTTTCTGCTGGCATAAGCCCATGAAAATCACTGAAGCCACATGGACTTCCATGGGCAGCCTCCCCAGCAGAGGCAGAAGTTCATTATAAGAGCTAATTCCATTCTTGTAACTTTTCCATTAGACTTTTCCATCCTATTACGCTTGGCCAGCTCATCCCAAAAAAAACCTCATCTCCGTGTTGGGCATTCATGCTGGGGTTGTTTCCAAATGTACTCCTAATTTGCCTTCACTCGGGAGCAAATTTGACTTCCTTGCTTGCTTTTCCCCCCATTCCGTCAAATCTGAACTACAATACGATGATTTATCTGGGCCCTGGAGGGTTCCTCCAGCATGGGGAGCCATGAGTCAGGGAACGCTCCTCAGAGCAGCAGCTTTTCTCTCCCCAAGCACAGGCATAAGTGAAGGGATGGCAAAGAGGTAAGTCCCTGCTACCATCACTCATGGCTAGCATATCAACCAGACTTGCAGCCAAAAGACCTCAGCTCTTGAGCTATGCTGAGTGCTATTTTGGTAGCTGCTTCAATGATCTTGCAACTTGGAAACAAATTACTTCCCTGAATTTAAAGATGATGAAAGATAGAGTCTCCTTAAAAAAAAAAAAGGGGGGGGGGGGGGGGAAAGCCGCACATTCTTGCTGGAGCTGGACTGTACCTTTCAAGTGGTGGTGGTGTTTATATCATGAAATGTTTTCTTTTCATGAGTGTACATCCTCTGGAAAATAACCAGTGAGTGACCAGAAACTTGACTGCACTGGCTCTAGCAGACTCAAAGGACCACATAGCCTGTGACTGTTTATGCCTCTCCATCTCTAGTCATGCTTCCTAACAGTGCAATCCCTTCCTTCTGTTTTGTAGGAGGAAGATGATGATGGCCTTCCAAAGAAAAAATGGCCAACAGTAGATGCCTCTTACTATGGTGGACGAGGAGTTGGTGGCATCAAACGAATGGAGGTAATTAGATACCAGTTCGTGTATCAGAAGGTCTTATTTGTGAACTGAGCTGTGATATCCCCCTGCAATTTACCCAGAAAGAAACTCAGGAGATTGGCACAAACTTCTTTAAGCTTCTTTTGTACATCTGAGCCCAGGTTGTTTTTATATAGGAATATTTGAGAGCCAAACATAGATTCCTGAAGTTTGGGACTATCTTTTTCTTCTGGTACAGTAAGATCCTCGTCCATGCCTGGGATACAGGGGCAGTGTTGCCATACAAATTACATGGAAATGTTTTTAGTTTTTCAGAAAACGTTCCTCACTCTCACATTTCTCATAAATCACAAAGAAGAAGTTCAAAATTTGGGCTCTAGTCTAGAAACAAGCTTCACAGCCTGTGGCTCACTCTTCACCTTGGATTTGGACACTGGGAGAATATGGACCAGGATCTAGTTATTACAGCAGGGATGTAACTCTCTACAGCAGCTACTATTGTAATATGCCCTGATGCCATGTTTTAAGGTGCGCTGGGGAGAAAAGGGCTCCACAGAAGAAGGCGCTAAGTTAGAGAAAGCCAAGAATGCCAGAGTCAAGATGCCAGAACAGGAATACGAGTTCCCTGAACCCAGGAACCTTGCGAACAACATGCGCAGGCCTTCCTCTCCTCGGAAGTGGTACTCTCCAATCAAGGTAAGTCCAGTCCAGTGTTATACTGCATAGGATGTTTCCAGGAGATCTGTATGAAGTGTTTTCACATCTGAGGCTATGATGTAGAACTGTCCACAAACCTGTGATCTCAAGATGTTGCTAGAGTAGCTGTGCATGAGGGAGTCCCACTGAACACATGCCTAGGGAGGTGCTGTAGAAAGGAGCCACGTGGGGCAATGGGAATTTTCCACCAGGTTGATTGGGTTTTGGGGTTGCATTGCTTTCTTAGACCAGAGTAGGATCCTGATCTCTTCTGGTGGTGTCACTAGCTTCTGTAAAGTGCTTACAGACTCGACTGCACTTCCAGGGGCAGGCCCTTTAGCCCACGCTGCATATGAAACGTAGGGAATAAATAGCATCCTCTTTCCTTAGAAAGAGGGGAGAAAATAGGAAGAAAATTGCTGCTAGGTGTCACCAGGGAGAGTTGTCCTCGGCAGATCAAGGATTGCAGTGCAGCAGATGGATATGTGCCAGCGCGCATGGGTCACAGGGCCAGGCTTGCTGCAGGGCAGCATGCTCACCTTACAAGGAGGGGATGCCCTGCAAGAAGTGTTTGGCTGAATTAGAGTGCCTCAGATGTGGAAGGTCAAATTCACACTGATATCGGGTCACGTACAATGCAAAGCTGCACAACAGTTGCCCACAGGAACTGGGAAGACTCTCCCTCTCTGCCCTCTGTCCCAAGGGCAGGCAGCTGTTCTTCAGTTTCTCTTCACTAATACAAATGATTGGCAGTGTACAAAATGAAACAAGCAAGCAATTGAATACTTCACTGAAGCAAAACTCTTCATTGCATATGTGAATGCTTCTCGTGGATTAAGAGAAACAAGCCACACAAAACAGATATTAGTCGCATCATCCAGGGTGTGGTACGAGGGCACTCCAATGTCAGAAAGCTCATCTTTTGCATTCAGGACAAACTAAGCTGTCCTCAGGAAAGGAGGACAGCTTAACTACTGTAGAACCACTTTAATGAAAAGGAGAAAAAAAAAAAACAATCCCGTACTCCTATTTCTCAGGTTTAACTCTTTTGGGAAATGCTATATCCTTCTTGTCTCTTTTCTGTCTGGGGCTATTTGTAGCAGCACTGCAGTTATCAATCTCAAAAAAGACTGAAAATGCCCAATTCATATCCAAGTGCCAACCTTGCACCACTGGAGCTTGGATCTCATTTTGAAAAGTGGAGAAGCTGGTTAGGGTTTTAGCAACCCTCTACAGGCAATTTATCTGCAAGTAGTCTGCAAAAAGAGTGCGTGTAACATATGTAGTAAACATTTTGGTGTATACAGCTCACCTTAAACTTTATGCTGGGGAATGGGGAAGTGCCCCACTGCTGGAAATCAGAGGTTTTATTCTCCTGTTTTCTTCCTCTCCAGCAGCAGTCAATCTAGTCAGACATATTCTATTAGCCAAGTTATTGCAATGCAGATTTATTACACTGCAGTACACTCAGGTTTCCCTGCATTGTATCTTGTTACTGATCAGCTCCAAGCAGCGCCCATAGGAATTTAGGCAAGTCACGTGTTTTGGCTTTCCTCAGTCATTGATCTTGCAGCTGGTTCAAATCCAGTGATGGGAATGGCAAGGATGCACAAGGGAGTAAGAGTGGTTTCCGGAGGATACGCAAATGTGAGCCTCTTTGAAAATTTCATCCAATGCCCTCTCTCTTTTCCCCCTTAAAGATTATCATCTAATAAACATAGCCTACCAACAAGTCATGTGCAATTGTTATAATGACTTCAACATGTGTTCACGAAGGTTATTCATTCCCACAGTGGGACAGGTTAGAGAGTCAACTGTTTTCAGTTCAGAGTGGGGAATGCAGTAAGCACCATCCCATATAGCCGCTCCTTTGTTCCTAAATGCATTGCATTGTCATTTTGCATCAGTGCAAAGCATTTGTAAAACACCCTCATCCCATCTGGGAGATTTTTCACTCCCACTGTGTGCTCATGGAAATGACCTCATCCAGCTGAGAGACGCAGCTCAGTTGCTTTTTGCATGCTGCAGTCAGAAGTGTTCACAGCACACAAAGCTATATTCTAACCACTGAGGAGCTGACAGAAACACTGATTTTAGCACAAAGAGCCCAGCCACAAAGGCAGCTGGAATCCATGTGGGTACAACTACCTGAGATCATTAGTTGAGAGCCGGGTCCTTTCTCATAGAGGATACTGCTGAGTTTCTCCCCTCTTGCTTCACCAGTTCATGCTGTTGGATTACAGCCTCAGGAGACTTTCAGTTAATTTTCAGAGTTTATTCAGCATGATATGAAATCAGTTCTGAACAGAGGAGTTAAGTTTTGCAGATCTGTGTCCTAGCTGGAAATTCTCCAAAGTTCAAGAGAGGCTTGGAGAAAAGATTCAATGTATGTAATGTGTTCAAGTTCAGGTCTGACTCTAAGAACAGCTTTTGCTTCGTAACAGCAAGAATTCAGTTATAAGAAGGCCTACAAATATTAGGAGTATCTCATGGGTGATATTCTTAATTACTCTAGAAATCTCTCTCATCTACCGTTCAAATTGTATACAGTATAAGGACAGTTCCAGTCCAAGACACCATATCCAAATACTCCCATAACTTTGGGGTGTTCCACATCTGGATAGTATTTAGCAGCCTGAGTCTGTCTGTGGACAAGAATTTACCTAATTATTAATTGCCACCACGCCCCTTATTGAACTGCACCCAAAAAGACAGTGTATGCAGACAGGATAACTGTATCCAACACTTTCCCTATGTACAATCATGAGCACTCATCAGAAACAAAGGGAATCATTCCTATGAAGCAGGGATCCTGCTATTACTCTCCCTGTGCAGTAAGGAATCAGGAAAATCAGCAAAATTCATCAGCACTCTTAGCAGAAGCTCTTGTCCTGAAGATGTGAGCACATGAAGATGAATTTGCATTGTGTTATGCAGAGGAGCTATCAGAGTCATAACAGGCAGAGAGAGGCGAGGAGGGATAGTCTGTTAGGTCATTGGGTTTGTACTCTCAGCCAAAGCAGGACTGCTAACTCGAATCTATCCTTCACTGCTTTTTCCAGTCTGGTTTTTAAAATAACATAGAGGCTTCCACCACTTCTCAGGGGGGAATATTTCACAGACTACCAGACCTCACCCATAGGAAATGTCTCCTGATACTCAGCTTAAATTTTCCTTCATCCCCATGCTCCAAGTGCACTCGGCTCTTTTGGTTAAAGCAGATGTTAAATTTCACCCGCTCCACTGGACTGGTTGAAACACCTCTTTGGAAGGTAGATAAATATGCATGTAACAAGCTACTTGAAAAAAAAAAAACCAAAACCAAACATTGGTAAAGGAGGAGGGCAAGGAATTAAATCTCAGAAACAGCAAACCAAGGTAGCTTGAATCTGACAATGAGCCAGGAAATTCACGTTTTAGGGCCAGTCATCTTGCTGGCCAACAGGCGGCCTCCTTTTCTCCATGCAGCACAAGTCCCAGGCTTTACTTAGTGTTCTGCCTTTTGCCAGTTTATCTGATGGAGAGTTTTTCTTCCCAGAGTAATGTCTATAAGGTAGGTAGACAGCTGAGAGTGGATAGATTGCTTTTTGAAATGCTCCAGAGACTTATTTGCTACCAAATGTGGCTACTGACACTAAACAGATTGTGGTTGTTATTATTATTATTATTCTTTGCTGCTGTTAACTTCTTAGCACGATGCCAACTGGATTATCCCGCTTTTAAAATATCATTTCAACAGTTTGAAAAGTCAGTGCAAATAATCCAATGAGAATGACAAGTCTGAAAACTTCTTAAGAAACTTGCCAAATCCTCAGCTCATCTGACAGAGGGAGAGGCAGCACAAAATGTAGATGCAAATGAGGGATCGTAAAGGACCATGCCTTTAGTTTTAATTTGGTTCACGACATGCTCCCTGCGAAAGCCAGCCACGCAGCTCTGTATGCTTTGGTTTGGTTAGCAGCTTTCCTCTATTTCTACCTCTGCTTTTATCTACCTGTCTACCTAGCTACCTCCCCTTTCTTCCTCCTCCTCAGAACATCTATAGTACCTGTTTGACTTCAAAAGGACCACTATCAGTCTCTAAAAAACAATGCAGAAAGGACCACAAGACAAGGCTAAACTCACTGTTCATCCACAAAAACTTACATCCAGGACCTGCCTCAAGCCTGAGGTTGAAGCAACAACCGGTGCTCTCAAAAAGAAACCTCAGGTGAATCCTAAGTGGAAGCTACTTAAGCATTTACTAAGCCGTGTGTCCCTGGCACATTTTCTAGCCTTTGCCCCTCCTGTCTCTTATTTACAAAGCTGACATGGCACAGCTTCCTTGCTAGAAGAGGCCCAAGGGCAGCTTGGATTTATAGGCAGCTTACAAAACTGCCTCTAACTGACACTACCAGCTACCAGGTCTCAGGAGCACTCTAGATGTCAGGTCATTCGCTAGACCAGGGTTGATACAGTGCTGAATTAACCATTAATTCAGGAAGACAATGCATTCTTGTTAAAGCAATGGCTGAAACTATGCCCTCCTTCATTTGTCATCTGCTCTGATTGTTTGTTCTCTCATACCTAGTTGGACTCAAAGCTTTATTTGCCTCCAGACCTTTTTTTCCCTCCAAGCGACCTTGTGCTTCAATTGCGAAGGAGTTCCTTAACACAGAGACACAACGCATCCACTAGAGAGCACAGAAGTGTTTATATTTCCAAGTGAATGCATTGCCATTTTAATTTCTTCAACCAACATCATTCTTTCCATGATCCACTCTCCTTCTCTTCCACCCATATGTCTCAGGCAGACCCTGAAGCTCCATTCAGACTCCCAAAGATGGAGCTCTTGGCTTTTCCCAAGAAATCTTGGTAGGCTCTTGGAAATTAGGACTGTGGAGTAAAAAGGACTTTTTTGTTCCATGGAAAGTTGTAATTTTCCCTCTGGTTTCCTAAAGGAGAAATGGAAGAAAAAGGTACTTATTTCTTAAGTTGTCAGAGGGGACAGGAGCTTCAACCAGTTCTGATGTAGGGGGAAATATGGATTGGGATAGACAGGTATGGCTTCCCTCAGGTCTTAGACGTTGTGCTGTCCAAATTCAGAAGAGTCTGACAGAGGAGTTTCTTGCTTCTTTCTTTGAGAATAACAGACATTCCTGGCTCTTGCCTTAGGAAGTCTTTTCCTCAGTGTCGTGGTTTAACCCCAGCTAGCAACTAAGCACCACACAGCTGCTTGCTCACTCCCCCCACAGTGGGATGGGGGAGAGAGTTGGAAGAGTAAAACTGAGAAAACTCGTGGGTTATGATAAAGACAGTTTAATAGGTAAGGCAAAAGCCGCGCACGCAAGCAAAGCAAACCAAGGAATTCATTCCCTGCTTCCCATCGGCAGGCAGGTGTTCAGCCATCTCCAGGAAAGCAGGGCTCCATCACACATAACGGTTATTTGGGAAGACAAAACACATCGCTCTGAATGTACCCCCCCTTCCTTCTTCCCCCAGCTTTATATGCTGAGCATGACATCATATGGTGTGGAATATCCCTTTGGTCAGCTGTCCTGGCTGTGTCCCCTCCCAGCTTCTTGTGCCCCCCCAGCCTGCTTGCTGGTGGGGTGGGTGAGAAGCAGAAAAGGCCTTGACTGTGTGTAAGCACTGCTCAGCAGTAACGAAAACATCCCTGTGTTATCAACAGTTTTCAGCACAAATCCAAAACGTAGCCCCATACCAGCTACTATGAAGAAAACTAACTCCACCCCAGCCAAAACCAGCCCACCCAGTATCCTGTGGAAAAAAGATCTATGCAGTCATTCTGTGTGTGTGTCTGTCTCCACCCATGTATCCCTCCAACTCCCAAATAAGCTTTGAACCATTGGCTCAACACGCTGGTTGAGGAATATAGGTCTCAAAGCAGATTACATCCCTAATGGTTTCTTGAAAAGGGAGGAGAAAGACCCTATGTCCCCATGAAAGGAAGAGTATACATTGAGTCTTTAATTAGATATCAGAGAACCAGGGTCACAGAAGGACCTTATAAATACCCGGGCTGGCAGGAAGGTCTTACCTTCACAGACACTGAAGGTTACTATCAGCCATGAGACCCAAGCTCGCAGGAAAGCAAGCTTCCTTACTGTTAATGAAGCTACCTGCTCTTTTCCCACCACCACTGCAATATTCAGCTTACGTTTCTATTTGCTTAATTTTGCCCCATGATAGTTATATGAAGCAATTCTGCTATCATAAAATTTTTGTAGTCTTTATTTCCAGGAAACAGGTAGTGATCATACATGAGTTTCTAAGTCCAGTCAGGGGTAGCTAGGTCTTTGGGTGTGATACTCTTGACCACGGGAAATAGTTTTGTACCAAGGGACAACTTTGTACATTCTCAGAGTAGCTTGTCTCCATCTCTGCAGATACAATAAAGTTTACTGACTGTTACTGGTATGGGTTTCACTCATGGTGCCTGCTCTAATATCATAGCATTTGTAGCATTCGGAACAATATTAATGGAAAGCTTAATAAATAATACTGTCTGTTGTTAACCCTCTCAAGAAAGTTTTACAAATCTCTGGGTATCGTGCACTTAACAGACCAAGGCTCAAATGAAGTTAATGTGAAGAGAGTTTGATAAATTAATCTTCAGCTTGTAACATGTCTGTAGCCTTCCATGGAGCCAGCCAACGTGCTGCATTTGTGTAAACCCTCCTTCAGATCTCCCAGAAGCTGAATCCATTTTGAAAGTGAAACCCTGGCTTGTTAGAATGGGGATATAGCAGGGAATCGTTCAGCAGCAGATGTATGTTTCAGAGCAGATTATTTGGTGGATATTTCTACATTGCAGAGCCCTGTGCTGCTCCTTCTGGCCTTGTTCAGCTCATTTGGAAAATAACCGCAGGCTTGGCATTTTGTGTCACTGCTGAATTTCAATCAGGAATGAACGCTTTGTCTGCATTGCAGAGAAGCATTGCGGGAATGGCAGGGAGGGTCCGACCCCACATCTCAGCCAAACTTTCTGTCAACAAGAGATTTCAACACATTGGGTTTTCAGCAAAACTTTCTCTGGGTTTGTGCATCTGCACAGGTTGAGCATTTGGGTATGGGCTGTTGGGTATGAGACCACACAGTGAGGTGAACAGCTTGTCAAAACCAGTGCAATGTGTTGAGGGTGGCATCTGTAGGGCAGCTGACACTGAGCTCATAGTAATGGGGGACTTTTGAAAGATGTGTGTTATTGCCTGGAAAAGATGCAAATATTAACTGACATATGGGGTGTGACCGGGGAGCTTGTGTGAGACCCAGTAACCTGATGCTCTCTTGCTAGCGTGTAGCTGACATGAAAGATTAAGTGGGTCGTTACACAGCACCTAGCTGTGACTCAGCTGTCTTGGCTGTGTGGAGAGACAGTTTTTCAGTCAGTTCTCCCCAGCAGATTGTTTTGAGATATAAATCAAAATTATTTCTAGTATGTCACAGTGGTTGCCTGGAGCTAGAGGCAAGCCACTCAGCCAGCAGAGGAGGAGGCAGAATAGTTAGGAAATGCATTGTATAAATTCACCTGATCACTTTCTGCATTGATTTAGCATTTTGCTAGCAGCGATGTCAGGAGCTGAGTAGGTATTGGACTCTCTCTCAGCCCAGGAGGCATCTAAGTCACCTATTACCTTTGGAGATTTTCAGAAGAATACATAAAGGCTAGACACATGAGTACTGTTGACTGTCAGACATACCTGCTTATCGCTCATCTGAAAGCCTCTTCCTTTGCACTTGCAGCAAGTTTGGAGCAAGTTTCTGTGAGAGAAAACATTGCTCTTCAGCATCTTGTATAAGCACAGGAAATGATTAAGTAAAAAATATGTAGGTCTAAGATGCATTGTCCCTGCACTGCACTTTGCACAGTGCACTTGTTCTTGCACAGAAGATAATACCGTGTTTCATTTCATTGCAGGGGAAATTGGATGCTCTCTGGGTCTTGCTGCGGAAAGGTTATGACCGTGTATCTGTGATGCGCCCACAGCCAGGAGACAAGGTACTGTGCCTCAAAATATTTTTTTACAGCTAGGGAAAATAAAATTCCTCTAAAGTTTCTGACTGCCTTTACACGTGGGACTGAAGGCAGGTACTCATGATAGCTTAGAAACAAAAATTCAGTCACATCTATCAGCTTTGTTTGCAACTGCAGTTCATGCAGTTTGACTGATACAGTTTCAAGTATGAAAACTGTCCAGGTGCAGTGACAGAAATAGCCATCAAAGAGCCCAGTACAGTCTTGCTCTTAGATAATATAGCTGCTTTCAATTAATTACATAATTAATTCTAATGAATAGTAAAGAATATTTCTGCATATTTTCCTTCATTAAAATCTTACATTCTGGAATAACGTTCTGAACATACACATAAATATATATATATTTTGCTACATAAATTTAAACTTCATGGGCACTTTTACAAAGCAAAGTTTGCAGAATGAGGTTTGGACTGTTGTGTGAGAGGGAGAAGTGTTCCCATATATGTCTAGCAAAACCTGCAAATTTCTATACATTAATGTGTGCTTGTGGGTGGAAACAGAAGCCATTGAAGAAAATGGACCAATGTCACTTTACAGGAATGATACTATCTATGACAGCAGGATACTATAGAGTTACCTCTCCTCTCCAAGGTACTAATCTCTTCCTTTTCAGTGGAATTAAACGTCTGGGTGCTTCCTAAATCATTTCAGGACAGTTATCCCCAACTATCTCTACAGGTACCTAGCTGAGCACTGAAGTGGCCAACACACACTCATGTGTTGTGTTCAGCTCTAAGCACCCAGCAGACACGCAGGGACATGCAGCTGGGCAGGGAGAGCGAGAGCTGCACCTAAGCTTTGCAAATTTAGTCTGTGTTCAAGGTACACAACACAGGTGAATTGAAATCCCTGTGGTAGCCATAAGACATCCCCTAACTCCTTGCAATTTACACCTAGTTGCCCAGGGCTGTTCCCAATCCAAGGGCAGAGATTCAACATCTCTCTGAGCCTCTGTCCATATTCACCTCATGGTGAAAAATGTCAGTTATATTAATGTTCGTGCAGTGGATTTACACACCTCTGACATAAATCAACAAGGGAGATTGGAGTTGCTTCAGGAATATATTTGGCCCAAAGTGTAAGTAACTGTGTAGCATTGTGAAGGCTTCAAGAAACTCAACTGCACATGGAACAACAATGTAATTTTTTGGTGGAGAATCATAGTTCTGTAACTTTTTGTTCCCTGTAAGATTTTTCCATTGAATGCAGGACCAATGAACTTTTGTGAATAAAAAGGTTTAATATTTCATTCCTTCAGGGGGAAGATTTGCTAAAATATATTCACTGAGTGTGATACTGATTTCTAGGAGAAAAGGTCATAATGTACAGATTGCTAATGCCTGGCAATTTTCCCACAGAAATCAGGGTTTGAAGAACACCTATTCTATAAATAATTTTTTTGTCTTGACGAGCTAGGATTATTTACATGAAAGATGCTACTTCCATTTATGCTGGGGAAAATCCAGAGCAGTCTAACTGAAGCCGATACAGTTAGCAGCAATTTATATTAGTGCATCTGACAGCAGGCTCCATCCCTTTGTGGTGATATATCTCTCAGATATGCAGTTCTGTGTCCTGTCAGCATAAGCAATAGCAGAATTAGCCCATATAGGTGTTATATGATCCAGCCTCGAAGTAGATTAAGCTCTTTTTGATTCTGCTGTGCTATAAAGGATCTCTGACTTGTGTGCAAGTATAATTTAGTGTGAAAGAGAAGCTGGCTGAAAATGCACCCAGGTTTATAGCTGCTAAAATACCTGTTTCTCTCCAGCTGACTCCTGGAAGACTTGCAAATGTTTGGGCACTTTCCTGTGCAGATATGAAGTCCTTCTCGGACTCTCTGTGAGGGTAGACTGTTCTTAGAACATTTGTTTTCCTTCGCATAAGCAAAATAAGAGCCTGAGTGTTTGTCTTCTTTGAATAACCATGTGTAACCCTCTTGATGTTTTTAATCACTTTCAGACTTAAGTGAGCAGTTTACGTTTATTCCTTTACAGTAGTGACATAACTGCCAGGTGATGTCACTCCCAACAGTACAGGCAAAACCAATATGAAAACTCACTGTAAAACACTAAAATGACATTCATTAGTTTACACAGCTGAAATGGCAGAATTAGGTAGGGTTTTCCCCTCCCCTATTCAGCAAAAATGTGGGGATTGTTTCCCTATTTCAGATTTAAAGTAGGGAGAAGAATCTAGCTTTCAAGCACTTGGGTTCAGCTTTGAGATTTCTGAGTCATCTCCCTTCTTGCTATAGACATTCCCTGTGATTTGGATGCTGGGCTTAGTCTGTCATACCTCACTTTCTCCTTTGCAGACACAGAAAGTGATTTTACCAGAGCTGGGCGTTAGGAAGGTTGGCTTTACAACATTTAGAGGCTTCTGTGCAAGGAACTGGGAAGGAATGAGGCAACATTGCTGTTAACTGAACTACCACAATCTACAGTTATGCCTTGGGAGACAAATTAGTCAAAAAGAAAAGCAAAAGGTTGCAAAAATTGTTGCAAAACTTGCACCTTACAAAATAAGGAGACTCTGAGCCCTATCTGATCCCTGCCAATCTCCCTCTATTCTTCTCTGTGCCACTGTTCTTCTAAGAGAAATTTAAATGCATGTCCAAACCTTAGGATACAAATTCTGCATCATTCAGGCTACCTTAAGGCTAGTGGCTTCTCCCAGGTCAGCAAACATCAAATATTATCTCGTAAAATGCATTAGTGTGTTGGTGTGATTGGAAATCCAGTGGGAAGGTCAGCGCTGAATTGATGGGGATGGCAGCATGGAAACATCTGCCAGTGTTGACTGCAGCTGTCAGTGCCTTCAATGCAGATAGTCGTGAGTCAGCGCAAACAGTTTGCTTTCCTTGCAAGAAAAAATATGAAGGAAAAGGAGCGATTTCACAGAAAATCTTTTTTGAAATGAAACCTGTGTCTGTAGGACAGTGTTGCAAAAGAAAAGGACCGGATGCATTGCACTGAAATGATGGGAAATTTCTACCCATACAAACAGCTGTGTGGCCAGAATCCCCCGCCCGGGAAGTCAGGGCTGGGTTTGATGAGCTTGGATCCAATCCCTGCCATTCGCTTGGAGACTTTTCACCAGTATCACAATGAGAGGGCCTCTGGCTTACTTATAAACACAGCCCTTCCTCTGAAGTGGATGTTTGATTAATATAAGCGTAATAATCTCTTCATCATTTCCTTCATCCAACCTGGGACGTAGTTCTTGGCATCTCTCCGGCTTGCAACAACACTCACAGCAACAGCATTTCAACCCTTTGCTGTCCAAAGACAGGACCACTTTTGTGATGGATGCATGGCCTGTGCACTGGGTCGCTTAGCAGACACATTTATACACCTAGTCACATGTCAGGAATACTGCCAAGCATATGGTATCTCTGACGGTTGACAGCTAGTGTGAGGAAGGTGTCTTTTGACAGTCCTCTGAGATATGGCACGTCACCTCCTTGACCTGACATGCAGACTGAGGCCAACGGGCTGTATCCAACAGGTTTAGATGTTCCTAGTGCAGGAGATGCTGAAGGACAGCACTGTGGAGGATGTTCGCACCCAGGCAGCCCTGCACATTTACACACAGACACCTAGACACTCCCCCAGCCATGTGTTTCTGGTGTAGGGTTTGCCAGCGCTAAAGATTAACCAGTGGGGTAGAGCTGTAAGAGTCATTTTGGCAGTGGTGATCTCAGCTATAAATTCCTGTGGCCTCTCCATGTGATTCCAAATAGCTCCTTTGGACCAGGCAGCGTGGACCAGGGAGAGAGCAAGGACAGACTTGGTCCTCATCAGGTTACAAAATCTTCTGCCACAAGTCTGCGGACTTTCATAGCTGTCCACTGGCAAATTTGCATTTGATCCTGTTCTACTGGGAAACGTAGGTAAAGGACGGCTCTACCCAGCTTGTCAGCAAAGGGGGTCCATCAGAGCTGGTATTGACAACTCCAAGCCAGTCGTGTGGCTTTAAAGTGGAGGCACAGATGGTTTGAAACTTCAGCCCTGATGCACTGGTGTAAACCAATCCTGGCCAGTTGCGGAAGACAGGAAGCTTCAGGCAGTCAGACGCAGGGCTTTGAGGTATTGCTGCACAAGGCAGGGCAGCTTCAGTTTTCCAGCTTTTTCCTGACTGCCTAACTTCATCCCAATGCCATCCTTTCACAGGGTGCTGCGGTGCATGCTATCTGCTGTGCCACAGGGGACCAGGCCACCCGTCACTCCTATCCCAGGTCCTCTACAGGAATGCTGGGCAATGGAGGCTGGGCTGGGCGCTCTGGTTCACCTACCTGGCAGTCACCCAGAGGAGTTTCAGACTAACTAGCTCAGTTTCAATCATACCGTGCAGCCGCTCAGTGTAGACTTCACGACACAAGCTGAATAAATACTTCAGAGTTACTTAGCAGCAAACTAGCATGTCCAAACTGCAGTCTTTGCAGCAAGGACGTGCCCTGGGAATGAGAGAACCAGTGATTAGCAAAGCATCCTACAGTTACCAGCAGCCTCAAACAGAGCCACCAGATTAAGAACCCAACACATGGTGCATTCTCAGGCTAAATAAATATTCAAACCCTTGCAGGCAAAATTTATGGCTAGTAAAGAGGAGCCTGAAATTTGCAGACAGGAGCCTTTGACCATATGGTATTCCTAAAAGATACAAGGAGGAGCTGTTTTGAAAGCAATTTGTACCTCCTTCCTTCTCTTTCCTGAAGAAAAGAAGGAAGCAGATTTCAGAGTCTTGGTGTTGTCGAATGGGCACCTTAATTCACCCACTGGTCAACATAAAAAAGTGAAGCCAGATGAAAAATAACTGAAAGGCATCTCTGTTTGCTTTGGAGCCTGAAAAGGGAATGGGACTTAATCCCAGGGTTACATCATTTTCATATATAAGCAATCCCTTGCTATAATCAGTTACTTTATCCACTGCCAGCACATTAGCTGAGCTGTTCAAAA